GTGTCAGCAGTACTGAGTCAGTGGTGTTGGTTGTGTCAGCAGTTCTGAGTCAGTGGTGTTGGTTGTGCTAGCAGTACTGAGTCAGTGGTGTTGGTTGTGTCAGCAGTACTGAGTCAGTGGTGTTGGTTGTGTCAGCAGTACTGAGTCAGTGGTGCTGGTTGTGTCAGCAGTACTGAGTCAGTGGTGTTGGTTGTGTCAGCAGTACTGAGTCAGCAGTGTTGGTTGTGTCAGCAGTACTGAGTCAGCAGTGTTGGTTGTGTCAGCAGTACTGAGTCAGTGGTGTTGGTTGTGTCAGCAGTACTGAGTCAGCAGTGTTGGTTGTGTCAGCAGTACTGAGTCAGTGGTGTTGGTTGTGTCAGCAGTACTGAGTCAGTGGTGTTGGTTGTGTCAGCAGTACTGAGTCAGTGGTGTTGGTTGTGTCAGCAGTACTGAGTCAGTGGTGTTGGTTGTGCTAGCAGTACTGAGTCAGTGGTGTTGGTTGTGTCAGCAGTACTGAGTCAGTGGTGTTGGTTGTGTTAGCAGTACTGAGTCAGTGGTGTTGGTTGTGTCAGCAGTACTGAGTCAGTGGTGTTGGTTGTGTTAGCTGTACTGAGTCAGTGGTGTTGGTTGTGTCAGCAGTACTGAGTCAGTGGTGTTGGTTGTGCTAGCAGTACTGAGTCAGTGGTGTTGGTTGTGTCAGCAGTACTGAGTCAGTGGTGTTGGTTGTGTCAGCAGTACTGAGTCAGTGGTGTTGGTTGTGTTAGCAGTACTGAGTCAGTGGTGTTGGTTGTGTCAGCAGTACTGAGTCAGTGGTGTTGGTTGTGTTAGCAGTACTGAGTCAGTGGTGTTGGTTGTGTTAGCAGTACTGAGTCAGTGGTGTTGGTTGTGTTAGCAGTACTGAGTCAGTGGTGTTGGTTGTGTTAGCAGTACTGAGTCAGTGGTGTTGGTTGTGTTAGCAGTACTGAGTCAGTGGTGTTGGTTGTGTTAGCAGTACTGAGTCAGTGGTGTTGGTTGTGTTAGCAGTACTGAGTCAGTGGTGTTGGTTTGTTAGCAGTACTGAGTCAGTGGTGTTGGTTGTGTTAGCAGTACTGAGTCAGTGGTGTTGGTTGTGTTAGCAGTACTGAGTCAGTGGTGTTGGTTGTGTCAGCAGTACTGAGTCAGTGGTGTTGGTTGTGTTAGCAGTACTGAGTCAGTGGTGTTGGTTGTGTTAGCAGTACTGAGTCAGTGGTGTTGGTTGTGTTAGCAGTACTGAGTCAGTGGTGTTGGTTGTGTTAGCAGTACTGAGTCAGTGGTGTTGGTTGTGTTAGCAGTACTGAGTCAGTGGTGTTGGTTGTGTCAGCAGTACTGAGTCAGTGGTGTTGGTTGTGTTAGCTGTACTGAGTCAGTGGTGTTGGTTGTGTCAGCAGTACTGAGTCAGTGGTGTTGGTTGTGCTAGCAGTACTGAGTCAGTGGTGTTGGTTGTGTTAGCAGTACTGAGTCAGTGGTGTTGGTTGTGCTAGCAGTACTGAGTCAGTGGTGTTGGTTGTGTTAGCAGTACTGAGTCAGTGGTGTTGGTTGTGCTAGCAGTACTGAGTCAGTGGTGTTGGTTGTGCTAGCAGTACTGAGTCAGTGGTGTTGGTTGTGTTAGCAGTACTGAGTCAGTGGTGTTGGTTGTGCTAGCAGTACTGAGTCAGTGGTGTTGGTTGTGTTAGCAGTACTGAGTCAGTGGTGTTGGTTGTGTTAGCAGTATTGAGTCAGTGGTGTTGGTTGTGTTAGCAGTACTGAGTCAGTGGTGTTGGTTGTGCTAGCAGTACTGAGTCAGTGGTGTTGGTTGTGCTAGCAGTACTGAGTCAGTGGTGTTGGTTGTGTTAGCAGTACTGAGTCAGTGGTGTTGGTTGTGTTAGCAGTACTGAGTCAGTGGTGTTGGTTGTGTTAGCAGTACTGAGTCAGTGGTGTTGGTTGTGTTAGCAGTACTGAGTCAGTGGTGTTGGTTGTGTTAGCAGTACTGAGTCAGTGGTGTTGGTTGTGTTAGCAGTACTGAGTCAGTGGTGTTGGTTGTGCTAGCAGTACTGAGTCAGTGGTGTTGGTTGTGTTAGCAGTACTGAGTCAGTGGTGTTGGTTGTGTTAGCAGTACTGAGTCAGTGGTGTTGGTTGTGTTAGCAGTACTGAGTCAGTGGTGTTGGTTGTGTTAGCAGTACTGAGTCAGTGGTGTTGGTTGTGTTAGCAGTACTGAGTCAGTGGTGTTGGTTGTGTTAGCAGTACTGAGTCAGTGGTGTTGGTTGTGCTAGCAGTACTGAGTCAGTGGTGTTGGTTGTGTCAGCAGTACTGAGTCAGCAGTGTTGGTTGTGTCAGCAGTACTGAGTCAGCAGTGTTGGTTGTGTTAGCAGTACTGAGTCAGTGGTGTTGGTTGTGTTAGCAGTACTGAGTCAGCAGTGTTGGTTTTGTTAGCAGTACTGAGTCAGTGGTGTTGGTTGTGTTAGCAGTACTGAGTCAGTGGTGTTGGTTGTGTTAGCAGTATTGAGTCAGTGGTGTTGGTTGTGTTAGCAGTACTGAGTCAGTGGTGTTGGTTGTGTCAGCAGTACTGAGTCAGTGGTGTTGGTTGTGTGAGCAGTACTGAGTCAGTGGTGTTGGTTGTGTTAGCAGTACTGAGTCAGTGGTGTTGGTTGTGTCAGCAGTACTGAGTCAGTGGTGTTGGTTGTGTTAGCAGTACTGAGTCAGTGGTGTTGGTTGTGTTAGCAGTACTGAGTCAGTGGTGTTGGTTGTGTCAGCAGTACTGAGTCAGTGGTGTTGGTTGTGTCAGCAGTACTGAGTCAGTGGTGTTGGTTGTGCTAGCAGTACTGAGTCAGTGGTGTTGGTTGTGTCAGCAGTACTGAGTCAGTGGTGTTGGTTGTGTTAGCAGTACTGAGTCAGTGGTGTTGGTTGTATTAGCAGCACTGAGTCAGTGGTGTTGGTTGTGCTAGCAGTACTGAGTCAGTGGTGTTGGTTGTGTTAGCTGTACTGAGTCAGTGGTGTTGGTTGTGTTAGCAGTACTGAGTCAGTGGTGTTGGTTGTGTCAGCAGTACTGAGTCAGTGGTGTTGGTTGTGTTAGCAGTACTGAGTCAGTGGTGTTGGTTGTATTAGCAGTACTGAGTCAGTGGTGTTGGTTTTGTTAGCAGTACTGAGTCAGTGGTGTTGGTTGTGTTAGCTGTACTGAGTCAGTGGTGTTGGTTGTGTTAGCTGTACTGAGTCAGTGGTGTTGGTTGTGTTAGCAGTACTGAGTCAGTGGTGTTGGTTGTGTTAGCAGTATTGTGTTAGCAGAGTTGTGCCACGGAACACCGTAGGCTCAAAATACACATTCATCTGGTGGAGACTGTCTTACAATTTTCTCAGAGATAATGATAAAATCAGTATGTTAGTGTGGCGAAACGTTTCCTCATTAAAAATACCCAAGTGTTGCACATTTGTCTTATTTATCAACTTGTCAGTTCTCTGAACCATTCATCGACAGTATGTTAGTATGCCCAGTTTTTATTATATGGAGTGTTAAATTCAGCTCGGGTAAGTTAGCGAGTACTTGTTTCGAGTCACAATTTTTACAAGGACCCGTCTCGGGAGACACCACTACCACAATTCATGGATAAAAGAAGCACTGATGTAGTTAACTTTTGCATTTAATGTATCAGCTAAGCGTTGTTATCCTTCCTTAACTCACTTTAAAGCTCAGCCTTATCTAAGGTATATTACCACCCATAACAATCGGCTAACACCTATTTACTGCTAAGTGAACAGTGACAGTAGGTGTTAAGGGAGGTAACCGTATGTCTCAGCGATCCACAGTGAACACAGATCATTCAGCTGCGATACGATGGCGCTAACACTGACTTCGGTAGCCACACTGTGCGTATACTTGAAAAGTTGCAGGTTATGTTAGGTAGGAAAGAAACTTATGTGCAAATGGAATGACGGGGTATGATGAAAAAATTTTCTATAGCGTTTAGTGACTTGCAGTGTATTGAAAATAAGTGTGGTGGGGTGTGTAGCGCACGGAATGCCTTCACACTACTGCTGTGGTATAGCGGTTTTCATTTTGTGCTGATATGTGCACGTGCGTCCTTGGGTTATAGTAGCTAATGGTAATCTAAGATAATGTAGTGTCAGGTTATCTGGAATAATTCCTCCCTTCCCTTCTTTCGATTTTGGGTCATCTTAATGTGTTTGTGGGGTTGAACGTTTGTGCTAAGGTAGAGGTGGCGGCCCCTCTCTCCTGGGAGGCGCTCCAGGGTACTTGCCGGGCTATTAGCCAGCCTCTGTATTTCGGTGGGAATGACTGTGATATTGTCTCTTTTGTCTAATTTGTGTGATGTATGGCTAATTATTTAAAACGGTAGATGGCAAAGTTTTTCGATGTAAATCATTAACTTCGGACTGCTTTTCTTGGAGTGCAGTGAGGATTTCTGTACTATACCCTTACATTTGAAGAGTTTCGAGAGTTTCACTACTCTCGGAGCCTGGCCACGGGCCAGGCTCGTCTGATCCTTGCCTGGTCAACCCGGCTGTTGTTGCGGAAGGCCCCCTGCCCCACATATCCATCACAGCCTGGTTCATCTGGCACCTGGTGAAGATACTTGTCCAGTTTCCTCTTGAAGGCTTCTACATTTGTTCCAGCCGTGTTTCTAATATTTTCTGGTAAGATGTTGAATAGTCTGGGACCCCTGATGTTGTCCCCACCGCACCCCTGCTCCTCACTGGGTTTATTTTACACTTCCTCCCCTATCTCTCACTCCAGTATGTTATGGCAGTGTGCAGATTTGGGACCAGGCCCTCGAGTACTTTCCAGGTATATATTATCATGTATCTCTCTCCTCCGCTCCAATGAGTACATGTTCAAGACTTGAAGGCGTTCCCAGTAATTCAGGTGTATATGAGTAACTTAATTATAGTGTTAATCATTTGGTACTGAGAGTAGCAGTTACATCAGCAACTTTTCATGTTGAAAGCTTTGTAAATTCAACAACGCAATCAGTCTGGAATAATGCCCTCCACTGATAAGTTTTTTCCAGCAGGTATGGCGTGGAGGGAGTGTCTTCAGCAGCGCCTCGGAACCGTCGTGGTCACCCGCCCTCCACGTGTTTTCCTCCAGTGGTCTGCATCTTCCCCAACATGACTTTAACCAACTTTCCCAGCCTGAATCTCGTCATGTTACCCAGCACGACCCCCGACACTTTCCCCAACCTGACGCAGGCCGTCCCCTTCTTCAACCTGATCCTCGTCATTTTCCCCACCAGGGGCACCTCCCCCAGCACCAGCAAACACAGGGGTCACGGCACTCACCTCACCCCCCAGCCTCTACATCATGGCACCATGACCTAGCTCTTCAACAACCTGTCGGAGCATTTGAAATTCTGTGCAAGAATGAATTCTCGAGTCACAAAGTGGAACCCATGTCTGGAGGAGCCTTCCCTACAGAGTGTAAGAAGGAGGACGGCACCGGACTGCCGGAGAAGGAGGGCGTGGGTCCTCTGGGAGACTCTTCACCTTTTGGTAAACTTCCTTTGGGCATGAACAAGGCACGAAGTTTTCCATCTCAGGGAGAGTACGGGAAGACTAGTTTCCCGAGTGTGTCTCGGGAGGGAGACACAGCAGAAAGAAGCACTTCACTAAGCTGTGAAGGAAAAATCAAGATGGAAGATGAGTGGACGAGCGAGAGAGCGGCGGGGCCCAGCACGCAGTCATCCAGCACTGCGCGACACGACTACAACGCCAATGTGTCGCTCATTCATCAACATATTCAACAGTACCAACATCCTTCACCATTTCATCCGAGTCTGTCATCGTTCTCCCCGGTTGGTGGACAGCAGGTTTACCAGCAGGGAGCTGCAGGACAGCAGTACGGAACACAGCATCCTGCACCACAGCACCACCAGCACTACCAGCACCCGCCTCCCCTCTCCTCATGGGGAACACCATACCAAGGACCTGAAGGAAGCTCATATGGTGGTGACCAACACTACAACATCTACGCTCGCTCTGTGTATATACAGGGAGGTCCTGGTCCCCAGTATTCATACGCGGGGTTGACAGCGTCCTCTCCGGGGCCCTCCAGGCATGTTACGGTGCCCCAAAGTGCCCTTCCCTCACCCAGTGCCCAAACCCCAGCCATTACCGCCCCAATAAAAGCTCGTCGTCGGCGACGATGGACGCGACGCAAGGCGATCATCCACACGTGCTCTCAAGCGGGTTGTGCCAAGACGTACGCCAAGTCGTCTCACCTGAAGGCACATATGAGGACTCACACGGGGGAGAAGCCCTACACATGCGACTGGAAGGGCTGTGGCTGGAAGTTCGCGCGCTCAGACGAGCTCACCCGTCACTACCGTAAACACACAGGTGATAGACCTTTCCAGTGTCGACTCTGCGAGAGAGCTTTCTCTCGCTCAGATCACCTCAGTCTTCACATGAAGCGTCACATGGCTCTCTGAGCCTCATATCTGAGTTACATAACACATATGAAGGGTTACCTGGCTCACACTCCCTCTGAGACCGGTTGAAAAAAAAATAACATTGATAAAAAAAAATCCACGGTATGGTTAGAGTTAGAACCCATGTCAAGTGCGTCGTAAAACTCCAGGGCAGCGCGTAAGCCATGGCTTCTAACCCCACCCGTACCGTGATTTCTTTGGAATAAATGTTGTTACGATTATGTGAGTCATAACATTGGTTTCTGCAGCAAACAAGCATAAGTGCCACGTGATTTAGAATGTCTCATGGCCCTGATGAATACATGACAGTTAAATGACAGAGCTTTACATGAAAAAAGGCTCTCACGGTCTCATGTGAACATCTGAAGCACATAAAACATCATGTGACTTATCATGTGACATGAAATGTCACATGGCTCTGCGGAGCTCACAGGAGGCATCGCACTGGCAACCTAAGCTCAAATGAAGCTTCAAACGGATCTGTGAAGCTAATACAAAGTGTCACACAGCCCTCAAAGATCACGTGCAGCATCACATGGGATCAGACTCACATCAAGCGCCACATTGCCCTCTGAGGTTATACGGTTCAAAGTGTTACATGAAGCATCATATGACCCAGTGAGGTTTACACAAAGCGTCAAACAGCTCTTTGAGAGTCACATTAAGTGTTTTAGAAGCTCTCATTAAGCGTTGCATGAATCTATGAGTCTTAAATCAAGTGTCACGTGGTCTTCTGAAGCTGCCACAAAACTTCACAGGTTCCCTCGAGGTTCACATGGCAATCTAAGGTTCACGTTGAGCATCATATAGCCATTTAAGGTTCACATAGCTCAAGTTCACATGCAGCATCACATGGCCATCTAAAGCTTAAATGAAGCATCACATGGCCCACTAAGGTTCAAATGACGTATCACATAGTCCTCTAAAGCTTACATGAAACATCATATGATTCTCTAAGGCTCTCATGAAACATCACTTAGCCCTGTAAGGCTCACATGAAGCATCACATGGCCATCTAAGATTTACATAAAGCATCAATATAGCCCTTTGAGACTCTCATAGCCCTCTGGGACTCGTAGCCCTCTTGTGAATTACATAGCCCTCTTGAGAATCACGTGGCCCTCTTGAGAATCACATAGCTCTCTTGAGAATCACATGGTTCTCTTGAGAATCACATGACCCTCTTGTGAATCACATAGCCATCTTGTGAATCTTATAGCCCTCTTCAGAATCACATAGCCCTCTTGAAAATCACATAGCCCTCTTATGAATCATATAGCTCTCTTGTGAATCACAGAGCCCTCCTGTGAACCGTACAGCTCTCTTGATAATCACATAGTCCTTTTTAGAATCACAAGGCCCTCTGAGACTCACATGAAACATCACATGGCCCGCTGAGACTCACATGACACATCACATGGCCCCCCGAGGCTGAAATAGGCCTTATAGTCCCGTCATTGTTGTTACATGTGTACCTGTGTACCTTTTTATATTTTATGTGCATTTGTACAGCTGTTTCTTTATACTGTATGTGTGTACAGTATAGCTGTGTACATGTGTACATGTATACCTGTATACGTGTGTACACATAATGCTGTTTATGTGTATACATGCATAGCTGTGTACGTATGTACTCGTATAGCTGTGTACATGTGCACATAGCTGTAAACGTATGTACATGTAGATGTGTGTATGTATTTACGCATAGATGTGTACATGTTTCCACGAATAGCCGTGTACGTGTGAGGTCACTTATAGCTGTGAGTAAACGTGTGTACACACAGTTGTGTAGCTGTGTACGTGTGAGTGAACATACGCACATGCATAGCTGTGCACATGTATACACATAGCTGAGTTACTGAGTACATGTGTACACGCACAGCCGTATAAATATGTACTTGTGCACAATAATAGCTATGGAACTATGTACGTGTGCACACGTATGTACGTATGTAGCTGTGTACGCTTGCAGCTGAGTAACTATGTACGTATGTGCATGTTTAGCTGTGTACGTGTGTATACGTAAAACTGTGCTTGTATTCACGCATATCTGTTTAACTGCATGTGTTTACACGTACAGATGTGTAACTGTGTACGTGTGTATACATGTAGCTGTGTGCGATGCTTGTGTGTACACGTTTAGCTCTGTACTGTGTGCGTATATGCACATATAGCTGTGTACCTGTATAAGTGTATAACAAGTACAGCTCTTAAAGTGTGCACACGTACAGCTGTACAACTGTGTACGTCTGTGTATGTAGATATGTGAACGTCTGTTATGCGAGTTATAACATTATTATCAATTAAAAATTATAATTATTATTAATATTGATATTATTATTAAAAAATATTATAATTGTTATTAATATTGATATTATTAAAAAAAATTATAATTATTATTAGTATCATCATCATTATCCAAATAACAAACTCAAACGAAATAATTATAAAATAACCAGAATTCTGAGAAAGTAGAAGAGAACGAAATGCGCCTCTGACCACCTACACATTACTAAATGGTTATAACTATGGCCATATATATTTAAAGGGGTGGAGGGGTAAGCCAGTGGAAGGTCTCCTTCAGATGACCAAAAGGTCCAACAGCGGATCATCATCTAAGACTCACATTGAGAAATACTTGTCCTGTTTCCTGACAAATCTCACCTAACTTAACGTTACTGTTAAGTTCACAACTGCACCAATATCCTCTAAGAACTTCCTAGTTAGTATCATAGAAGGATGGATCTATGGACACCTCTAAGAAACATAATTTTCGCTCTAAATTTATTCTAATTAATAAATGTAATCAGGTCAAGTTAAATATAAGCAAGGCAGGTTAAATATGATCAGGGTAAGTTAAATATAATCAGGGTAAGTTAAATATAATCAGGGTAAGTTAAATATAATCAGGGTAAGTTAAATATAATCAAGGCAGGTTAAATATAATCAGGGTAAGTTAAATATAATCAGGGTAAGTTAAATATAATCAGGGTAAGTTAAATATAATCAAGGCAGGTTAAATATAATCAGGGCAAATTAAATATAATCAAGGCAGGTTAAATATAATCAGGGCAAATTAAATATAATCAAGGCAGGTTAAATATAATCAGGGCAAGTTAAATATAATCAAGGCAGGTTAAATATAATCAGGGCAAGTTAAATATAATCAAGGCAGGTTAAATATAATCAGGGCAAGTTAAATATAATCAAGGCAGGTTAAATATAATCAGGGCAAATTAAATATAATCAAGGCAGGTTAAATATAATCAGGGCAAGTTAAATATAATCAAGGCAGGTTAAATATGATCAGGGCAAGTTAAATGTCTTTTGTTTACATCTCCGCCACTTTCAATGTCATTTATAAAAGCTTAAAACACACACACACACACACACACACACACACACACAGAGGTATGATAAAGCTCACGGCTCAGGGAGAGTGACCTATTAGCGATCAGTGAAGAGGCGGGGCCAGGAGCTCGGACTCGACCCCCGCAACCTCAACTAGGTGAGTACACACACACACACACACACACACATACACATTAATATATATATATATATTATATATATATATATATATATATATATATTATATATATATATATATATATATATGTCGTGCCGAATGTGTAAAACTGGTCAATTAGCAAGAACTCATTTAAAATTAAGTCCTTTCTAAAATTTTCTCTTATACGTTTAAAGATATATTTTTTTCATTAATGTTAATGTAAAAAAATTTAATTTTGCACCAAAAGGAGCTTAGAAAACTTACCTAACCTTATTATAACAAACGCAATTTATTTTAGCCTAACCCAACTAAATATATTTTAGATTTGTTTACAATAATTTAATACTAAACAAACACAGTGAAATATATTTTTTTCGTTAGGTTCAGAATGGTTTTAGCGAAATTATTGCATACACAAATTTTCACTTGTCCTATATGGCAAGATGAGCGTTGCTATTTAAGTCAAGATGGCAAGTTCTGCCTATTCGGCACGACATATATATATATATATATATATATTTTTTCAACAAGTCGGCCGTCTCCCACCGAGGCAGGGTGACCCAAAAAAGAAAGAAAATCCCCAAAAAGAAAATACTTTCATCATCATTCAACACTTTCACCACACTTGCACATTATCACTGTTTTTGCAGAGGTGCTCAGAATACAACAGTCTAGAAGCATACACATATAAAGATACACAACATATCCCTCCAAACTGCCAATATCCCAAACCCCTCCTTTAAAGTGCAGGCATTGTACTTCCCATTTCCAGGACTCAAGTCCGACTATATGAAAATAACCGGTTTCCCCGAATCCCTTCACTAAATATTACCCTGCTCACACTCCAACAGATCGTCAGGTCCCAAGTACCATTCGTCTCCATTCACTCCTATCTAACACGCTCACGCACGCTTGCTGGAAGTCCAAGCCCCTTACCCACAAAACCTCCTTTACCCCCTCTCTCCAACCCTTTCGAGGACGACCCCTACCCCGCCTTCCTTCCCCTATAGATTTATATGCTTTCCATGTCATTCTACTTTGATCCATTCTCTCTAAATGACCAAACCACCTCAACAACCCCTCTTCTGCCCTCTGACTAATACTTTTATTAACTCCACACCTTCTCCTAATTTCCACACTCCGAATTTTCTGCATAATATTTTACACCACACATTGCCCTTAAACAGGACATCTCCACTGCCTCCAACCGTCTCCTCGCTGCTGCATTTACCACCCAAGCTTCACACCCATATAAGAGTGTTGGTACTACTATACTTTCATACATTCCCTTCTTTGCCTCCATAGATAACGTTTTTTGACTCCACATATACCTCAACGCACCACTCACCTTTTTTCCCTCATCAATTCTATGATTAACCTCATCCTTCATAAATCCATCCGCCGACACGTCAACTCCCAAGTATCTGAAAACATTCACTTCTTCCATACCCCTCCTCCCCAATTTGATATCCAATTTTTCTTTATCTAAATCATTTGACACCCTCATCACCTTACTCTTTTCTATGTTCACTTTCAACTTTCTACCTTTACACACATTCCCAAACTCATCCACTAACCTTTGCAATTTTTCTTTAGAATCTCCCATAAGCACAGTATCATCAGCAAAAAGTAACTGTGTCAATTCCCATTTTGAATTTGATTCCCCATAATTTAATCCCACCCCTCTCCCAAACACCCTAGCATTTACTTCCTTAACAACCCCATCTATAAATATATTAAACAACCATGGTGACATCACACATCCCTGTCTAAGACCTACTTTTACCGGGAAATAGTCTCCCTCTCTTCTACACACCCTAACCTGAGCCTCACTATCTTCATAAAAACTCTTTACAGCATTTAATAACTTACCACCTATTCCATATATATATATATATATATATATATATATATATATATATATATATATAATATATATATATATATATATATATATATATTATTTCAACAAGCCGGCCGTCTCCCACCAAGGTAGGGTGACCCAAAGAGAAAGAAAATCCCCAAAAAGAAAATACTTTCATCATTCAACACTTTCATCTCACTCACACATAATTACTGTTTTTGCAGAGGTGCCCAGAATACAACAGTTTAGAAGTATATACGTATAAAGATACACAATATATCTCCCCAAACTGCCAATATCCCAAACCTCTCCTTTAGAGTGCAGGCATTGTACTTCCCATTTCCAGGACTCAAGTCCGGTTATATAAAATAACCGGCTTCCCTGAATCCCTTCACTAAATATTACCCTGCTCACACTCCAACAGATCGTCAGGTCCCAAATATCATTTGTCTCCATTCACTCCTATCTAACACACTCAAGCACGCTTGCTGGAACTCCAAACCCCTCACCCACAACACCTCCTTTACCCCCTCCCTCCAACCTTTCCGAGGACGACCCCTACCCCGCCTTCCTTCCCCTACAGATTTATACGCTCTCCATGTCATTCTACTTTGATCCATTCTCTCTACATGACCAAACCACCTCAACAACCCCTCTTCAGCCCTCTGACTAATACTTTTATTAACTCCACACCTTCTCCTAGTTTCCACACTCCGAATTTTCTGTTTAATATTTACACCACACATTGCCCTTAGACAGGACATCTCCACTGCCTCCAACCGTCTCCTCGCTGCTGCATTTACCACCCAAGCTTCACACCCACATAAGAGTGTTGGTACCACTATACTTTCATACATTCCCTTCTTTGCCTCCATAGATAACACTTTTTTGTCTCCACATATACCTCAACGCACCACTCACCTATTTTTCTTCATCAATTCTATGATTAACCTCATCCTTCATAAATCCATCCGCCGACACGTCAACTCCCAAGTATCTGAAAACATTCACTTCTTCCATACTCCTCCTCCCCAATTTGATATCCAATTTTTCTTTATCTAAACCATTTGATACCCTCATCACCTTACTCTTTTCTATGTTCACTTTCAACTTTCTACTTTTACACACATTCCCAAATTTGTCCACTAACCTTTGCAAATTTTGTTTAGAATCTCCCATAAGCACAGTATCATCAGGAAAAAGTAACTGTGTCAATTCCCATTTTGAATTTGATTCCCCATAATTTAATCCCACCCCTCTCCCAAACACCCTAGCATTTACTTCTTTTACAACCCCATCTATAAATATATTAAACAACCATGGTGACATTACACATCCCTGTCTAAGACCTACTTTTACCGGGAAGTATTCTCCCTCTCTTCTACACACCCTAACCTGAGCCTCACTATCCTCATAAAAACTCTTTACAGCATTTAGTAACTTACCACCTATTCCATATACTTGCAACATCTGCCACATTGCTCCCCTATCCACTCTATCATATGCCTTTTCTAAATCCATAAATGCAATAAAAACTTCCCTACCTTTATCTAAATACTGCTCTCTCTCTCTCTCTCTCTCACACACACACACACACACACACACACACACCACACACACACACACACACACACACACATATATATATATATATATATATATATATGTATAATATGTATACAATTACTAAAAAAGAGAAGAAGAAAAACTTTATAAAACTGGGTTGCTTAAATGTGCGTGGATGTAGTGCGGATGACAAGAAACAGATGATTGCTGATGTTATGAATGAAAAGAAGTTGGATGTCCTGGCCCTAAGCGAAACAAAGCTGAAGGGGGTAGGAGAGTTTCAGTGGGGGGAAATAAATGGGATTAAATCTGGAGTATCTGAGAGAGTTAGAGCAAAGGAAGGGGTAGCAGTAATGTTAAATGATCAGTTATGGAAGGAGAAAAGAGAATATGAATGTGTAAATTCAAGAATTATGTGGATTAAAGTAAAGGTTG